GTCAAGGCACTACTGTATACAGTGGTGCCTCGCTTACCGATCGCTCCGTTTAGTGATGAAATCGCTTAGCGACAGGGTCTTGGCCATCGCCAGAGCGATCGGTTAGCGATGGCCCCTATGGGGATAAATCGCTTTGCGATCATGGCAAAGCGACCCTTGCACATCCAGGAGGAGGTGGGAGGATCCACCCGGAGGAGAGCAGAGCAGCGGGGGGCTAAGGGGGAGCCTCTCATCCCTGTGACAAACACGGCACTCGAAAGCATACGTGAATGCTCGGACAGAGAGTAATTTGGAGATTGTACACGCTAACATGTGCTGAGTGAGTCCTAGAACTCAGCTAGCCGTGAACAACTCCCCATCTTACAAGTCTGCCCTAATAAGAACACCCTTGTACTCTCAGATATTACTGTTAGAAAAACATGTGGGCTTTGTAGTTCTTAGACTTATCTGGCGCCACAGGCAGGACTCCTTAAGTATGCTAGGCCGAGGCAGCACTCTCAGATGACCCTAAGACAAGTTTACTGTTCAGGAAACCAATTGATTTTTATAATCATTATTTTATTCAAGAATAAGCATGTTTCTAGGTATCAAAACCAAACTAAGCCAAAGCAAGTAAATAAGCATTGTGCTGGTTATTTACAAATCTGTAGTGAGGCAAAGAAAACATGAAAAATATGCAAATATCCAAGAACATTACAAAAATGCAAAAAACAAGAAAAATAATAAAAACAGTTCCAATAAGGTAATCCATTAGGAAAAGCAAAATAGTCCAATTATGTTAGAAAAAGTCCATAGTCCTCAATAATCCTGTAGAAGAAAAATACTGTACAAAAAGAAAAATCCAGTATAAGAATATGTCCCATTGTCCTGTGAAAAATTCAAGATCATAGTCCATAATGAGTATTCCATAAGAAGTAGTCCGTAAAGGGTATTCCATAAGAAAATAGTCCATAGGCCAAAGGGTAATCTAGTATTAGTCCATGTATAATCCATGTGAGTAGGCCACAAGTAAGTAACGAAAAGACTGAAGATTAGGTCCTGAAAGACATTAGGGTGAGTCACGAATGACAATGTCCATAGGCAAAAAGTTCCTTTTTCAAGAGTAACTGGTAAGGCCTTATCGCTCCTTCCCACAATGTCATCCAATCACTATCTGTTGCTAGGCAAACAGTCCAGTCGTACCACATGACTTTCTCTCCCATGGGTAACAGATGTTATTTGGGTTACTGTGGTTTTCAAAGAGTCACAACAAAACCCATCTATCTTATCTCACAGAATCCTTTCTCAGGCTCTCAGAATAGCATTCTCCTTGCTCTCACTAGCAAACAACCCTCCAAATGGCAGCTTTGCTCCGCGGCATGGAAAGAAGCGCCGCCCCCACCCCACACACACACACTCCCTCGCTGGCCGGCTTCATCAGCTGCAAGCTTTGCTTGCCTTTTTGGCCTGGTCGGGCTCTTCTTGTCGCCCATGGTCATGGACTGGTGGAGGCGAGCCCCCCCGCCTGCCTTGCCTTGCGCCCAAGGAGCAGAGAGGGCTACGGGGCTGATTCCTCCTCAGACCAGCAGGCTCTGGTGGCGGCTGTTCCTGCTCCTGCTGCTGCTGCTCCACCGCTGCCAGGCTCGCGCTCCAGACTAGGCAGCGCAGGGAGAGCGGCCCCGCTCTTCTCTCCTCGCCTCCCTTGCCTTCTCTCTTTTTTTCCCTTCCCTTCCTTCTCGCTCTCTCGCTCTCTTCCAAGCCAGGCTCAAGCGGTCGGAGCTCTGGGCCCCCGGCGGCCAATCCTGGCCGGCCGGCCTTGGGCTCCGTTGGGGTGAGGGGAAGGGGAACGTGCAGCCATGGAGCAGAGAGGGCTATGGGGCTGACTCCTCCTCAGACCAGCAGGCTCCGGTGGTGGCTGCTCCTGCTCCTGCTGCTGCTGCTCCGCTGCTGCCAGGCTCCCGCTCCAGACTAGGCAGTGCAGGGAGTGCGGCCCCGCTCTTCTCTCCTCGCCTCCCTTGCCTTCTCTCTTTTTTTCCCTTCCCTTCCTTCTCGCTCTCTCGCTCTCTTCCAAGCCAGGCTCAAGCGGCCGGAGCTCTGGGCCCCCGGCGGCCAATCCTGGCCGGCCGGCCTTGGGCTCCGTTGGGGCAAGGGGAAGGGGAAGGTGCACCCACACACCCACGTGCGCACACAAACACACACACCACACACTCGGTCGAGGAAAGCAGTGGCGGGCTCAGGCAGGTGGGTGGGAGAGAAAAAAAGAGAGAGAAGGAGAAATGGCTCCCTCGACAAGGAGAGCAGATGGGAACGTTGCTCCTTCCCGCTTTTGCAAGGCAAACAGTTCAAGAGAATTTTCCCCGACCCTTTTAAAACAGCTGATTGGTGGTTTCAAAACGGCCGCCAGCTGTTTTGCCTCGCTTAAGAGGCACCAAAAATGGCCGCCCCTATGGAGGATCTTCACTTAAGGTTAGTTTTGAAGCCCATAGGAACACATTAAATGCGTTTTAATGCATTTCTATGGGCTTTTAAAAATCGCTTAGCGATTAAATCACTTCGCGACGTTTTTTTCCGGAACGGATTAAGGTCACTAAGTGAGGCACCACTGTACTGTAAATACACTTGGTATCAGAAGAAGCTGTCTTTGTTTGTGTCATTCAACTAGACTGCCTGGATTGAAACAAAAACTCTGCTAATTTACACTAACAACTATACATCAAATGGTTCTTTGGTTCCATTCCTGACATCTGCTATGAGGAACTTTATACCCTTCAACTGCTCCCAGAATTCCCAGTCAGCATGGTACATAGTAAGAGAATACAAAATTTGCAGCCTGCAGAGACTAAGGTTCCCTATCTCAGGCTTTGAGCTTTCTTTTTAGTTTTGGTTGGCAAAAGAAGAATGCAATCCTATGCCCACTTGCTTGGGAGTAAGACCCACGTGATTGCAATATACATTTCTTCCCTATTTTCTCTCCCTATGTTTCTCTCTGAACTGAAACATCTCTGCAAATAATGTCATTCTTCTTTACTTTTCCTCTGACAAGCTCTTTTGCCATTTCTCTTGAGGAAAACAATGGTGAAATGGAAAGCTGCAGGTCAATAAACAGGCAATAGTTTTCCTTCTCTGTTGCATTCAGCACTGGTTAACACACACATGCACACACACACCACACAGCTGTGAGAATTCATACACATATTGTCATATATGAGCATATACTGTATGAGCATATATTTCGCATTCTTGATTGCATTTGTAGAAAATGGAAAATCATTTTGTTTTGTGCAAAAAAATATAGATTTGAAGATTAGCATAGCTTAACAGCAGAGTATATCACTGCTGATGATTCAGTTGCCACTGAAATCATGGTAGTATTGATTAATTAATGAAATTTGAATTGTGTACTGGCTGTGTAGCCAGAAATTGGCCTCCCAGGAGGGGAACCAGCTTGTGTAGCCTTGGGGAAGTTACACAGCCTTAAGAGTGCTTCTGAACTAAGGGAATGGTAAACCACTTCTGAGTATACACAGGAAATACTGCAAGGCTTGTCATAAGTCGTAATCAGCCTGATGGTACATAAAACATTATTTTCCTCTAGCTTCTCCTTATGCCTTGGGCAGAAGCCATCTCCACAAATGATTAGATGGAGGGTACAGGGAAAATACAGCAGAGTAATATGTTCATTGCAAAAAGACATGGCCTTCATTCTCAATTCTATAAAGCTGTGGATCTAAAATGTCCACATTAGCATGTCTCCAAACTCATAATACTTGAGATTATGGTTCCCTTTCCTCTGTTTCCTTTTTTCTGAATTGTGGATGTCAGAGTAGATTTCTTTCAACAGCTTGAGATCCCTCTCAACTGTACAATTCTGTGGGGAAAAAATGCTAAGGCTAAATCCTTATTATTTATTTTTACTTGCACATAATAGCCTGTACAAGCGGAAAGTCCCATTGCAACTCTAAGCCAAAGTGTTATGTTCATGGAGGTATTACATTCGCTGATCCTCAACAGGATTCTATCCTACATGTTATCCATTTGAAATATGCAACTTTGCCTTCTGTGTTTGGTGGTGAGCCCCAGTTCAGGTCTGACCTCCCCACTGTCTCTAGATTAGTTTTTCTGAAATGCAATCATTCTTCATAGTTGTTTCTAACACCCCTTTTTTCTTTTCTCACTGAAAGAGAACCACATGGATATAGGAAAAATTATCCATGCAAAGGCACAAATGTCTTTACCTTCTAAGTGTATACCATTTTTCCCTACCAGAAATGAGAAAGTACATTCAGTACTAAAAAGGGACTGAGGATCCTGTAAATCATTGTTGGCGTATGCAAAAATTAAAGTACCAAATACCGACACAATGTAGGAGCAATTAAGTTACATCAAATTGTCAAATAATTAAAGGAATCAAGATGAAATCTGATGTGAATTTGAAAAAACATCTATAGCAACTTTGAGAGAATAATAAGTGAAATTGTTCAGTGGAGCTTTATGTCTTGATTCAGGGCCTAACTTTTCCATGGAAGATTCTTGGAATAATTCTTGGTTCTTGGAATAAAATTTGATGCAATCTAAGGAAAAAAGAGTACTATATCTAATTTTAGTCTCACATGGAGTAGATCCATCTCTCAAGTGGAGAAGTCTGTTATATCAGCAGTTATGTAAATCCCATTGATCAATAGCTCTCCTATTGTTGGGGATTATAACTGGTTATAGCTAGTAATGTTCCAGAAACACTTAATGATTCAAGCAAGACTGGCCAAATGACCCCCTTCCCAAAGTAAAAGCACATATTATCCAAGGCCATGTTACTCTGTTAACTGTTAACAGAAGATCTCACAAAGGGATCTCCTCTTCAATCATGGTGAGAATACAATGACAGCAAATTATGTAATTAACAATTTTGTGACCTTTCATGACAGTGGGCCTAGCTGCATACAATTCAGTTTTCTGAAGACCTGATGGACAAGTCATGTCATAGTCCTGCCTCCTCTTCTCAGGCCAATGCAACAAAGGCGGAACATCACAGGCTGTTGTGGTCTGATTCTTACACAACTCAGCCTCTGCAAGATCTTCTCTTAAAAAAAATTGTTTCCTTTGCTGAGCTTGCTGTGGAAAAAAGGTTAACCTCACCTGCAGTCCCTAGTTTGGCAGGAGGCTATAACAGAGATGAAAAAACTATCCAGGTGAGATTTTACCATAATTTATTTGAAGCCAAGCAGAATGTGTTAAGGTAAGATTAAGAGTCTCTATCATATTTGAAAGACAATACTCTGAAAAGAAGAATAGGAGATTATTTTGGTCCCTCCCTCCTCCAACACATACACTACTCACACCAATGCACAAGACTCATATCATTTTAAACATAATCAGAAGCTCTGAAAGTAAATAGCAGGGCTGACAAGAGATTAGGGATGTTTAAAAGATTGGTAATTTGAATTTTGGGTCTGTTTGTTAATTACATATGTGTACAATTTCAAATAATAGTTCAGCAGCAAAATGTCAAACACAAAATGTGTTTTTGTTTTTAGCTGATGCATGTATATATTGTAGAAGGCACCTTAAAAGAGATATTGATGCAAATGATGCAATTTGAGTCACTTTTTCATCTTTTTTAAAAACATGTACTTGTATTCAAATTATATTAATCTGCTTCCAGTTAATCAGGGATATCTTTTGATTTTATAAAAATCTTTATAGATGATTAAATGCTACAGCCTAGTATACAGTGGGTAAAAGAATTTAAATTATATAGGGGAGGAGATTATTTCATTACACAATTCTTAAAAAAATCCAATGGCTTGCCACAGAAGTGGCAGCAGCAATTCCAGTATATAAGTACATAGAGATTGTGCCATGATATACAACTAATTTATGCAAAAACTATGAAAGCGACACTATATTTTTTAAAATTGATAATATGAATGGAGAGCAATAACGTGAAGGTGATCTTTGTCCTCTTTTATGTGGAGCCCTTCTAGTCAAAGATGGTTACATGCAAAAGACTCATTTTTATTTTTTAGAACTAATGCAAAGTATATTCTGCTTTCTTGTAATAAAAATAGTATACAATCCCTCCTCAAAGCTTTTAAAAATGAAGGGCTCAACCAGGGGTTAGGGAGAGAAGGAAAATATTGGATAATGCTTTAATGCAGAATATTTTCTTTTTATTATGGGACACAAAGCTGCATTGTTTAACTACTTTGCTAGCTTCATCACAAGACTTGTTGCATCAGCCTACCATTCTTTACAATGGGCTTTATAACTCCAGCAAGGGCATAGACATGGTACACCTGGCAGCAACTTTAGTATAAACCAGGTTGGAAATGTTATGAATAAATCTGGGCAAATTTCTCTACTCCTTAAAAGCAAATGTTGTGTGCTCCCCTTTTAAGAGGCCAGCCCAGAAGCCTCAGGGCAAATTGATAGCTGGGGAGGAATTATTGTTATTGCTTTCAAATTTTGGCCAGGAGCAGCTGGGGTCAGTATAATCTCCTTAGAGGCAGCAGCGGCGGGGGGTTGTGGGTTTATTCTGTTGAATTTTAGGTTTCTTTAGTTATATATTTTTTCTAAGAGACTTAAATAAGTACTGTTGGTTAGAAATAAATGTATATAGTGGGTATTTCTCATTTGGAGTGGGGAAGTTTTTTTTTGTGAGGCCGATAGGAGGTTTGAAGGAGGGGAGATGTTTTGGTGGGACCATGGGAAGGGGGAAAGGTTTTTAAAAAAACACCCTTCTCCCAATCTGCCAATAGTGCTTCCTAACTGCCCACCACACCTAGTATTTACTTCTGTTAACATGTAGGTTTGACCCTTAAAAATGCTTTGGCATTTGCCATTTTTGCAGAGATGACCATATGTATGGTCATCTCTGCGAAGCATCTGGAAGCTTTGTTGAGTATCCTTCTGTCCTTCGTGGTCTTAGGCAAGTAGTGAAATAAATAAATAAATTTGCAGCTTCAAGTCTCTCATCTGCATTATGAGAAGAATACTGTAGTATAATAGAGTAAAGAGAATTAATAATGTATGTCACTTTGCCCAAAATGGTGCCTTAGAGATGTGGGCTACAAACCCCATCTTTCCTAGCTATGGGGGAGGGGGGCACCATCTGCCTCTCTGGAGGTACCTGCAATCATAGTCAATGTACATTTGGATGGCTCCAGGTTGGCAGGGCTGGTGCATCTGAAGTGCTTTAAACATTCAAACGTGTAATTAAATTATCAGTAGAAGTTTTAGTAGCAGTACTCGTGTCGCACAATGGCTATACAGGACTGGGGTTGCGTATAGCTGACTAAAAAGGATAATACTAGCAAGGAAATAGGATCTGAACATGAAGAAAAATATCATTTAGTGATGTGACACTTTCTAAGTGTCAAAAATCATATTCCACAGAGTCATAGATCTATTATAAAAATAATAATTTATTTTAGTAGTTAACAATTACAGCATCAATTCCTCCTCCAATATAACATTACTTTTTCCTAATACTTAAACAATTCATGGTTTTCCTTTCATAATATTTGAAGTATATAATCCATTTTCCTTGTGATACATCATATTGTGGAGGATGCCTGTTAATTTTTTCTCACATTATAATCATAGATTCATATTCTATAAATCCTGTTAACTCATATTCACTTATACACTGTATAATGAAAGATGACTGATACCGGTTGATGTTACTTTGGTCTACGGTTACAGCAGAATTTAAATTTCTACAGTTACATATTTTTTTCTCTCTTCTCCAGAAGTTGCTAATATGTTCTCATTTCTCCAGTTTGCAGATTTTGCTCAATAACCACTTCCTAACAAGGGATTGACTCACTGCCAGCCTATAGACTGAAGGTAGGGACTTGCCCTTGCTTTACTTCAGCTGCGTTATATTTATCCACTGAAAGATTCAATAAATAATCTAGGTAAACTGAGCCGTGTTTTGAAAAATTGGTAAATGTTGGTCTTAAATGAGACCCCAAAGTGGACTTTTGACCACTTCTGGCTTTGTGCTTGGAATTTTCAGGGAACATTTTTGGCAGAGGGGCCTGGAGACAGAAATTTGGCTCACAGGCATGCCAAAGGTTGCCCACCCCTGATACAGTGGTGCCCCACATAGCGAGGTTAATCCATTCCGGATTAATCCTCGCTATGTGAAAACATTGCTAAACGGAACATAAAAACCCACTGGAACGCATTAAACATCGTTCAGCAAAGTTTCCTCCATAGCGGCAGCCATTTTCGCGCCCTCGGGCGTCTGGCAGCCATTTTAGAACCGCTGAACAGATGATCCGCGAAACGCTTACCGATTGTCGCTATGCGAGTTTTGCCCATTGGAACGATCGGTATGCCTCCGCATTAGCGATCCCGAAAAGGGGATCGCTATGCGGATTCGTCGTTGTACGGTGTGCTCATTAAGCGAGGCACCACTGTATTTGCTAACCATTTGCCACAGTAGCAAATATCAACTTACTTTAAGTGTCTTTTCTCAAGCTTGGTCCCAGCCCAGTTCCTGGCTCCAGTTACATCCTGATGCCTTATGTTCAGTTGACCTGCAGGCAGCGACATATACATTGTACTATTCCTAGCAAAGCATCATGGACCGTAACTGCCATTTCTGCCTTCCTAATGAAGTGGTGAAATGAAAAATGACCTCTGTGGCATTAACAGTTGTACAGAACAGGGAATTTTAGCGGATGCCTCATCTTGCAAGCCTGGAGGCTCTGCAGGGGAAAAATACACGTTGCTTCCGTATGGCTGTCCTTTGTTTAGCCCCCTGCCTCCTTTACCTGGTTTCCTATACAAGCCTGTTTGGGATTTTGAGATATTTGGGGAGGACCTTCTCTCTGTCCAGCTACCCTCACAAGAGAGAGAGAGATGCTTCTTCTTCTTCTTTTAAGTAACCACAATGGTAGATTGGCACCATTTTAAAACCACAATAAGGCTTGCATTACTAGGAGGCTTCCTGGCTACTGACAGAGCTATGGTCAGGGCAGCAGAGACCTTGCTTGCTTGATGTGCAGTGAAAACAGATCTGCTGGAGTTGCCTCCCCTACCCCCCAAGGGAAGAAGATTGTTGCTGGCCAGCCAGTGCTGAGAGGCTCCCTGGCTAACTTTGCATTGATTAGCTGTTGAAACATAATTACTTCAAATAGCAGCTCTAGTGGCTCTGTTTTCATCGCATGCTGAGTAGACTAACTGCTGTCTCAGCACTGGTGCTGTCAGTAACCAAAAAACCTTCCAGCAGCTTCTGGCTGGTGACAGAAGTCCCCATGCGGTTTTTAAATGGGCAGATTGGCACCATTTTAAAATCACAATAGGACTTGCATCATGGGCCACAACAGGAGTCACTGTGGATTTGACTTGATTTTTTTCTGGCAATGTGGTTTTAACCCTTGACAAGCTATGCTTGCTGAAATCCCATTTTTCACACAAGTGTTAATGAAACAGGAGCCCTGTCCTTCTATTCATGCAGCCACATTCCTTAAGGATAATTTTGGCATAGGTAATTTCTTTATGTAACTTTTTCCCAATCTACCATATGATTTGCCATTTGGGGCAATGAGATATGAAATTCAACCATCCAAATAAGGTTTCATATTTGTTCTCACTCCCCACTGCCCAAAAAACTGAGAACAGAATAGGAAAAAACATGAACTACATTCTGTGGAGGATTTACATATAGGCTGGAAGCAGGAGTGATACTTGCTAGCTGAATGTACACAAGGCTTCCACAAAGGTTCCATGAGAGCATTTTGCAGCTTTACCACACACTACCCTTTAAGCCAAACCCCTTGATGGCATGTTTGACAGAGAGAAGGAAGCTGCACCCAGTTCTCACTGTGTTGAAATCACACATGCTTCAGTCAAGTAGGCACAACAGACCATACTTTGGTAAAGAGTGGTGCTGAAGTGGGAAAATACAAGTGCCTTAGAGTACCTTATGGCCTGGTTTCAGACCTAGACTGAAACTAGCACTTAAAGTGAGAAGCAAAGTTTGAGAAATCAAACTTTGAACACTGAGGTTTCCTTTTATTACAGGAGGATTTCAGGAATTGGAATAAATCTCCCTCCCCCAAAAAAACTCAGAATTTCTCAAATTTCTAATAGCCAAGCCTGCAATTCCACTTTTTACAATAAACTGAAAACAAAATCAGGACATAGTTTTAACATATGCACATACACACATCTCACTCCTAGTCTGGATGCAAAGGAGTGTAGGAAACAAATAATTCTTGTGGGCACACTATATTTTGGAATCCACTTTAAATAATACTGTATTTTTAAATACATTAAAATGCTTTATCTTTGTCCAGCATTATGCAGTTATTCACCTGTGATACTAAGAGTTGCAACTTATATAGTATATTTCTTCTTCATTGGTTTAAAAATAGAGAGAGAGAAGTCCTATTGAGTAATGAAGGGAGGAGGTGCAGATTCCCATCATTATCTGTTGTTTCCTACTGGTCAGGAAATCAGTTGGCTTGCATTTTGGGAAATTTAAATTCTGCTAGTTTAAAACATCACAGAAGATGAGCCAGCTTATTTCACATAGAGTTGTGAAATAAGGGGAAAATAATTATACATTCAAGAAGCTGCCCCAACCTTGGTGTTCAGTGGCACTTCTCTTTTTAAAAAAAATGTTATTTATAGAAGCATATAATTTAGCGTGTACCAGTTTTACTCAGATTTGTATTTGTTGGACTGCCCCCTGAATCTCTTCAGCCCTTAGCAATGCCCCTAGAAATAGATGAGTGTATTAGCCTCACATGAGCTCTAAGCTGTTCAATTTAGTTCTTGCTACAAACATGTTGACACAAAGTTTAGGAGTGAATCAGTTCTCTGTTGAGACTTCCTGGCCTGGACCCTGTTTGAATTAGCAAACATGTAAGAAAAATAGTAGAAGTACCTGCAGCTACATGATGAGATCTGGGCATGTCTGGTCACCCTTGCAAGTATATTAATTTGAATAGGATATTCAAGTAATATTTATTTCAGTTATAAATAAATGTCATGAACCCCTTCCAGTGGTTTCCGAATTGGTTTCAGTAGAAGATGTCACCTTACTTTGCTTACTTGGGAGCAACTGAATAAAATTCACAAATAAGACATGCAAACTCCAAAGTAAGGCACACATAAATGTTTACTCAATAAGTATACACAAGATTATATCCAACATGGGATACCAAGGAGGGCAAAGGGCACTGATAGAATCAAGTAGACATGTTAACTGGTAGACATGTCATCTTAACTGTAGTGTGCACAAATGCTTGTTTATAAAAGGTTGCCATAATCTTATCAGAAGAAAATGGATTTCCTAGCATCAGTTTAGTTTTTGTTATAATCAGCATGTTGTTCTAATGTTGCTCAATTTTAAATTTAAGATAAAAATTTCCAAGACAGCAAGAGTATTATCTCAAGATTACACATAAACAGCAAAAAGTAGTTAAAACATGTCCAAGGTGGTTAAAAAATGAAAAAGAGCAAGTCAGCAATAAAATACAACTTCACTGTTCAATAAAAACAATCCAATCTTGTGTATGTTAATCAGCAGTAAGTGCCACAGCATTTCATGTCACTTTTGTTGTGGGTATGTTTTCATGCAAAAGGTAGGACTAGATGAATCCCAAGGATTACCGGAAGAAATATCAACAGCCTCAGATATGCAGATGATACGACTCTGATGCCAGAAAGTGAGGAGGACTTAAAGAACCTCTTAATAAGAGTGAAAGAGGAGAACACAAAAATGGTCTGAAGCTCAATTAAAAAAAAAAAAAAAAAACTAAGACCACGGCCACTGGTCTCATCACCTCCTGGCAAATAGAAGGGGAAGATATGGAGGCAGTGACCAATTTTACATTCTTGGGCTCCATGATCACTGCAGATGGTGACAGCAGCCACGAAATTAAAAGCCCCCTGCTTCTTGGGAGGAAAGCAATGAGAAACCTAGACAGCATCTTAAAAAGCAGAGACCACCTTGCCGACACAGGTCCACATAGTCAAAGCTATGGTTTTTCCAGTAGTGATGTATGGAAGTGAGAGGTGGCCCATAAAGAAGGCTGACCGCTGAAGAAGTGATGCTTTTGAACTGTGGTGCTGGAGGAGGCTCTTGAGAGTCCCCTGGACTGCAAAGAGAACAAACCTATCCATTTTGAAGGAAATGCAACCCGAGTGCTCACTGGAAGTACAGATCCTGAAGATGAGGCTCCAATACTTTGGCCATCTCATGAGAAGAGAAGACTCCCTGGAGAAGACCCTGATGTTGGGAAAGTGTGAAGGCAAGAGGAGAAGGGGACGACAGAGGACGAGATGGATGGACAGTGTCACCGAAGCTACCAACATGAATTTGACCCAACTCCGGGAGGCAGTGGAAAACAGGAGGGCCTGGCGTGCTCTGGTCCATGGGGTCACGAAGAGTCGGATATGACTTAACAACTAAAGAACAACAATGCTAAAGTCAGGTGCAGTTAGAGAAGGCACATCTGAATCAATGGAACTTACAAAGACACTGCCTCACCCAGTTCCCATTGATTCAGTGGGCCTACTTTAGTGTGGCTTAATGTTCTAAATAAGATTTTGGCCATTGTGAAAATCAGCAGACTTGAGCAGACCTTTGTAAACTTACTTTTTTGATTGTCACTCCTGGAATCTCCCAGCCTCTTGTGGAATACTGGAAATTGTAGTATTCAGAGTTTCTGAGCTTTGGTATTAGCAGATGGTCATGGACTTTTAATCCAAGAAATTTCAAATGTGTCTTCTGCACAAAGAATTTATATAAGGCAGGGGATTCCAATTACCTAAGATCAGAAATCTAGGTCTAGGGGCCAATTTTTTGTCCATGGGACTCTTTAGAAACTGCACAGACCACAAAAAAAAGCCAAAATCATCCAAAAAATGAAAGCAGAAGTATTAGAAATCTATTTCCAATTTTGGAAAATGAGTATCATTTCATCTTCAGTGGTCATGGGAACTTGAGGTCTTTTAAAAAATGAGTCACCACTTATGAAAGCTTCTGGATGGGAGAGATGGCGGTTGCTAAAACAGCTGGGCAAGAGGGAAGTGGTTGCTTACAGCTTGAAGGTCACATATTACCTATCCTTGCCTTAGAATAAAGGCTGCTGCACAGTTGTTTGCTTTTCTGTTAAGACAGTTATAGAGCTCAGTATTATTGTAACTATTGCGAGGGCTGGCCTTTTCATTAACTCAATGAGACAAGCATTTGGATTGTCATGAAAAGGCAGAAATTTTTTTAGCTATTTAATTTATTGGTTAAAAAAAAAAAAAACAGTCCAGAGGAGAGAAACTTCTGGGATTTTCTGCCTAAATTGTCAACTCACCTTGGCTGGCTTTAGCTACTTACTCAACCTATTGCAACACATGGGAGCATTATTCGCTTCTTCACTTCAGGCAGCAAAATGTCTTAAGCCATCCTTACCAGGATGCTGAATGCCTCTTGTGCACTATTGCAGTCCCTTTAGGATTGTGATTTTTAGCTACAATCCCAAATATGTTCATTTTTTTACTCCACCCTGGGCTCTTTATGTGGCAGATAATTTAAATAAAACAGCACAGCATCATTGAAAACATAGCACTAAGAACACAAATGTAGAACAAAATAGAACATATCCTTTCTAATAGTATCATTATAAATTCCAGTTGTTTTACTGGAGTTTAGAATTAGAGTCCAAGTAACACACTGGCTGAAATTCAGAAGGAAGGCACAACTAGAATAGGCCCATTGAACCAGTAGGGATTTGGAGAGCTAACTTCTCTGTAAGTTCCAGTGGTTCAAAGGACCTACTCTAGCTGCAGCTTACTACTGAATTTCAGCCATTGTTTAATATTGTTCCCTGCATAAGCACTTTAAGTCTGTTAGTGGGAATGTAGAGAATTGGAAATACATGATATACTGTATTTATGTAATTATCTGTTGTGTTGCAAATGTGTACATTCCACATGTGTAATGGTGGCTATAAGCTGCTCTCCATGATCTCAGGCAGTGTGCTATACCCAATGATATGCAGGTGTACTTCCTCTTGATTTCTCCTTCTCTCCTTTTCCAGACCTCTAGAGCAGATTTTGAGAGGAGGGGAAGAATTGCCCCATCCTGGTTCTGCTGGTGGAACAAGGAGAACAACTGAATTGAATCCTGGCTGCTTTATCTGTAAGTACCAGCTGCTAGGAACATGAATTGAAGGGTGCAATTACAACCATATCTTGTTTCTGAACTTCCCATAGACCAGCACAGAACAGAAAGTTGAACTAGATTGCCTTGGGTCCAATCCAGTAGGGATGCTCTTGTGTTTTAGTAAGTGTAAAATCAAGTATACAGATAATATCACATTCACTGATTCCCCTATTTGTAGGGTGCTTCCTTCTGATGCTTTTCTTATACAGAGTTTTTCAGACTCGGCTTTGGCAGAATCAAACTGAAGAAGTGTGAGTTTCGGCGGGGGGGGGGTTGCAGGTGCTTTTGTTCAGTAATTCTCCCAATGTTAAATGACTGTTTTAGTTGCTGTGGGGTGCCTCATGAAATGAACAGCTCATAGGTGGGGGTATGTATGTTCTCAATCCCTCTGCGGTCAGTCAAAAAGTAGTCAACAATAGAAGGGTTATCACACAGCAACATGCATGTCATTATATAGAACATGTGAATGAGACAGTAAATAAAATTCCCTGGATGATTATGGAAGATTATGAAATAGGAATAAAATGGGACAGTGCTTTACAGGTATAGCTTTTGCACCAAGCAGAATAAATATAATCATGTGATGTCAAGTCAATTCTGACTAATGGTGACCTTTTCAGGGTTTTCCACATAACGAATACCCAGAAGTGTTTTACCATTCTCTTCTTCTGGGAACTCTCTGGGACTATGCCGCTTGCCCAAGGCCACACAGGCTGACTTTATTTCACAAGAGGCACAGTGAGGAACTGAACTCCCAATCTCTGGCTCCGCAGCCAGATACTGAACCCACTGAGCTATCCAAACACCTGCACCAAACAGAAGGGACACCTTATTCCAAAATAAAATGGGAGGTAGGTGGGGACTGAACCAGACACAAGCCAACTATGATGTTTTGTATGATTATATCCTGAATGGCACTATGCAAATGTTTTGAACAAATTGTTAAAGAAGAATTGTTTTAGCCCCTCACTGAAAATAATCACAAACCTCAATGTATACTTTAAAGTAAAAACTTGTAGGGACTTGCTTTTGTTAGATATGTAAAAGAATGTGCAAGGTCTTTGTGTTTGCTTTCTAAAATAATGTGTTATGTATCTAATTCTGAACCAAGAGTAGAAGAGGATACTGGAACGAGGCCTTGCACAAAACATTTACTGTAGACACAGAAGACTCATCAAGGGCAAACAAAATTGCACCTTGAATATAGTGTTAGCTGGGTCACAGTTTTTTTCTTAACCTGGAAAGAAACCTTTCTTAACAGTTGCTTTCTTAACATATGCAATCCTATTCTGGACTAGGGTGAATATGTTGGTAGGAAAGGCTAAAGCCTTCTTTCTGCAACCTTTAAGGGAGGGGAGGTTTGCAAAGGCAGCAATTCCCCCCAAATTTCCATGGAGGTACATTAAAAGGCAAAATGGCTGGGCAAGGCTATCTGAATTCGTCCCTTCTTCAACAGGATCTAAGTGTGCACTTAGATTGGGATAAGAAATAAATGATGGTTCTGGTGCACTCTGCTCTCTGAATGCTAAGGCTCATTGACTAACTGTATATGTGAAGATGCTGCCCCTTTTGAAATTAAAGAGGATTCCCACACACACTCATTAATTCTGAGTAGACATTGACAGCATGCACGAATCTGAATGAGGGTGGAAGTGTCATGTAAAATGGACAGAAAAGAAACATGAGGCACAGCGAAATGGGTTTACCACCATACCTGTTCTGAATGTTTATGTCTATTAGTAAAACTTTGTACTACCTGTATTTTGTCTTTGTCCCTTACATATCTAAATAGAAGTAAGTCTCTGCAAGTTTACTCTGAAATAAGTGGATAAAGTCACCTTTCCCAACCTGATGTCCTCTAAGTGTCACTATAGCTTCTGTCATCCCAGGTCAACATGATCTATTGTTGAATGACATGGGATGATGGGACCTGCAGTCAAACACAGCAGGAGGGTATACTTAAATTCCATTCATTCACTTTTGCTGTGCACATATGCGCATCAACAAAAGGTTGAAATCTGTGTTTCCTCACCTAACATACTGAAGGTGGCTCACTTTTGTTATCAAAGTTAGGTAATTTAGAAATAATACCTGATGTGTATTTGAAAGAACACACTGTGTTTGCTGGATTCCTATTTTTTTTCTCTTTCATATTTTCAAAGAAGCAGTCATCATGACCGAAGATTATGGGACCCTCGCTAACTTTGTTTATGAGGACCTGCCTCCTCCATGTGACAAAAGGGACATTCAGATGCTTGGGAAACGCTATCTGCCTGTGCTATATGCCATTGTGTTCATTGTTGGGCTTGTGGGAAATTTCTTGGTAGCTTTTACCATTGTGAAAGGTGGATGCCAGAAGAGCATCACTGACATATATCTTTTGAACCTGGCTATCTCTGATCTTCTGTTTGTGGCTTCTCTTCCTTTCTGGGCTTTTTATTTAATACATGGATGGACACTTGGAGATGTTTTTTGCAAAATAATTTCCTCTTTGTATTCTGTGGGCTTTTGGGGGGGCATATTTTTCATTACCATCATAAGCATTGATAGGTATCTGGCTATTGTCCATGCAACATATTTTATAAAAGCTAGGAGTGTCAACCGTGGATATCTCACAAGCTTTGTGGTGTGGGTACTGGCAATTTTCTTTTCAGCCCCCCACTTTGTATTCATTCAAGCATCAGAGGAAAGCTGCGCTTCTCAGTATCCTGAACATCTTATGGAAATCTGGCCAGTTTTCACCTACCTGGAAACAAACATCATAGGGTTCCTTCTTCCAGTGTGTATCATGGGCTTTTGCTACCTGAGGATCATCAGAACCTTGTTCTCCTGCAAAAACCACCGGAAAAAAAGAGCTGTGAAACTTATTTTAATGGTGGTGCTCGTGTTTTTTCTATTCTGGACCCCATACCATGTATCACTTTTTCTGCATACATTACGGTTTTATGACTTTTTTGAGGACTGCAGCTCCTTAAGGCTCTTAGATTACACCATGCAGGTGACTGAATCACTAGCTTTCAGCCACTGTTGTCTTAATCCAATCATCTATACTTTTGCTGGTGAGAAATTTAGAAAGTTCCTTTTGCACATGGTTCTTACATGCCTCTCATTTGTTGGTTTATGTGGCAAGTATCGTGGCAAAGCTCCCACTCCTCTTCCAGAAACTGCCTTGTCCACCAATCAGACCCAGAACACCAGTGAACAAGATGGGTCTGTCCTTCTCTGAGCATTCAGTAATAGAAGTACTGGAGAATATTTCAGATAGAGAATGCTGAGCTTTAAGTTTGCCAAATTGTGCACGGTTTTTTCTCACTGTTCTTGAAAAAATAGTAACATTTGTATATAGGACATGTCTACATTTCAGTTATTCTTTATAGAGATAGGTGTTATATAACATGTTGTATAAAAAATACAAAAGGACGGAAGGTGTTTTGTTGCCGATTTAAGAGCAACCGTGCAAAAAAAGCACAGCATTGTGTTTCAGAAGTAACTCAGCTGGAACCTGCAGGAAGGGAATTATGTGAGCTATGTGAGGAAAACACAGCTTTTACAGTCATATTTGAAATCTAGTTGGAAATGCTACAGGAAGCTAAGACTCTTGCAGCTGCACAACCTGACAGTGTCAGTAGAGGGGAATTATATGAGTTGTCTTCAAAATAAGCAACATTTTTGTATGTTATTGATTTATTAGTGTGGGTTTATATGTTCCTGATGAATAATAAATAACTACTATTGATCGTTAATAAAGGTTATGTTGTTTAAAGCAGTTTTGTGTTGATTTATTACAAGTTATTCCCTTTATTGGTATTTATTTTCCTGTTAGCAAAAAAAAATAAAATGTTAAGGGCAGTCATAAAGCAGTTCTTCCCTGGCCACTTGTCACCTGTCATACATATGTCTGCTTCCTTGACTTGCGGGTGGCAGTGCAGGTAGGCTTGCTGGCATGATTGCCAGCTTGCACTGCACAGGAGGAATACAATTTTGGATGTTCAGGAGGAGAAGGAAATTGAAACTCATGATTGTTTACAGGCTTGCAGGAGCACAAACAGATGAAGGGAAGAGTTACTACAGCATTGTAGTAACTCCCTGCTCATTTGTTTTTGTCAGTGATATAAATCCCACAAACCACTGGACATTATTAGATAAGTGTTCCTTTCCTTCCTCTTCCTCCTTTTTCATTGTGGGGAGAAGCAAGCTAATTTACACATTGTCAAGCTGCAAAATTATGTTGTAGAATAATCACACATACTTACTGTTTAAGGGAGCACTGCTTCTGACTGCAAAACAGCCTGTCTTATCTGTTTCTTCCCGTTTTCCCAGATCTAAAAGCCATAGTGCTACAAAGAAAAGTGGTATCTCTGTGTAACATACACAGCCACAAAGTCATTCAAAAGCAGATGGTACTGATTCAGCTCAAACAGCAAAACCAGTGATCTTGTGATACCTTTATGACTAACACATTTTACTTTGGCGCAGGTTTTCCATGGCCTGTAGCCCACTTCCTCAGATTGCATGCAAACATCTGAGCTGCAGTGCATGGATGCTTATGCCAAATAAAACGTCTTAGTCTTCATCACAAGATTCTTTGTTCATTTTGCTGCAACAAATTAACATGGCTGCCAACTGAAATTTCTGTTGCACTCACTACAATGCACAAAGAATATAATACGCAATTATATGCTGTGCCTAAAGAGGAAGGCAGAGCAGAAAATTTAAAAATCTAGCTGATTGTATAAAACACTCAAATACTCTAAAAAAAGGAAGACCCTTTTTGCAGATGTCCATTCATGCTAACGAGTACTACAATAACCAAAAAAGCAGCAGGAAACAGAGACGCACCCTAAGTGTCTTGAGAACCACCACCCTAGACCAATTTAGTGTGGGTAGTTCTGTTTTGAAGCCACAGCAAATTTAGGGCTGTTTTTCAGAACATAAGTAAAGTACAATATAAGGATGGGCATGAACCTCTGAACTGGCTGTTTGTTTTTTGACCAAACAGGTGTTTGGTGCTTCCCACTCCTGCCTCCTCTGATGGGTACCCACTCAGATGCTGTACTGGAGGAAGTAGGATAGGGAAGCTGGACCACTGACTCTGAGTCAGCACCCAAGTGAAGGAGGCAAGGCTGGGGAGCACAACACCTGTTTGGCCAAAAAACAAACCAGCATGAACCACCAGTTCAGCAGTTCGTGCCTGTGTCCGGTAAAATATTTCAAGAGGCATCACCTTGGATGTTGCATGGCACTGGAAGGTGCTGGGGGAGGGAGGATAGGAGGATTTGCCTCTTTTGATGAACTTGGAAAGCCTGGTTTTTTAAAAAATGGAACCCAGGTTGTTCCCATGACTGCTTCCAATCTAATAGTGAAGGAGAGCTGTACTGCAGTGTACTGCAGCATTTCAGGTGTTATTGAGCTCCCTTCAACCACAAGCACCATGGGCAATTGTCAGGGTAATCAGAATTGTATGCCAATGGTATGTGGAGAGCCACAAACTCACTGGATCAGACTAATTTCCCATAGTAACCAAGCAGGCGACTGAGAGATCTACAAGCCAGAGGAAAAGGTAGTTTGTTGTTTTAATCAGCCTTGGCTTCATGAATATGAAGGTTCCATACAATGAGGAGCTAATCTACTGTGGATTTAACAAATCATTTTTCAAGCTGCCTATAAGAATGTCCTATGTGTAAACTGACAGTTTATAACATGAAAGCAAGCATGACCCCAGACGTTTGGCTACAACTTCTATCATGCCCACCAAAATATTGCATTAAAGTAGCATAACTATTACATAGATCAACAAAGTTGGGCATCTTAAAGATGAACATAGTCTCTTATGCCAAACAAAATTTACTGGCCAGAATCCTGTTGAAGAAAAGCTGTGTGTGTGCAAATTGTTTCTTTCCTCCATCAGGGTCCTCTTCAAGTAATTGGCTATCTATTGCTTATGAACCAGGCACATGACCAATGGCATGATTGTGTGAGTGAGCCTGTTTGGAAGAGCAGAGCAACTTGCATGACTGAACTTTTGTGTATGATTTGTCTCTTGACTTTAGATTCCCGAAATCAATTTATTAAGTCTCATTCAGAAGGAGCAATAACAGAACCAAGTTATATTTCTGCAACCTTTGTTTTTCATTTGATGTTGCAGATGCTTAATATTGCTACTGGAATATATGCAAGCATTGAGGTTTAGTTAACAGTCAAGCTTAATAAACAAAAATAACTGTTTTGACCGGTATAATAAAAACAATGGAGTATACTGTACACTACTACAACTTTTGTAGAATTCAAAGTCAAACAGAAGTGTTACAATCAAAAGATTGAATTTAAAACTGTTTCCATGCATGTAAGATGTTATCTGCTTCTGCTTACTTAGTCATTTATAGCTTTGAGGTTACAAATGAGGATCCACCCAAGCTAAGCTTGCAGAATGAGTTCTTGAAAGCTTGCTGTCAAAAAAGTTCTAGTCAGTCTTTAAAACAAAAGCAAGCAAAAAAAGTCTTCATTTCAAAGCTACCAGTGTTCCCAGAAAGCACTGTGTGTTTAAAAATTGTCTGATGCAACAAGAACATTATTTCATGGTTCCTGCTTCCCCGGACCCTGGCATTCTTTTTCAGATGCCAAGACTCAGGACTGGAAGGCAGTCCATTTGAGGTGTATTTTTACATCTGCTTATTTAACTAAAAGAATCGAACAAAAAAACACCCTGTGCCATAGTCTATTTTTTAATGGCTATCACAATCATATTTATCACTGAACTTTAAAAAATCTTAATTAATAGTAAGTTACCAAAGTAAAAATAGATTTGTAACAGTAGGAGTGAAGGATACTGCTGTTGTACAAACCTGTAGTGCACTACGTCACACTCACCTCTCCCTAAAGAGAGTATGAGGTTTGGGCAGGGAGTCACTATGGGCACAAATCTACCACCTTTATCTCTGAGGTTGGTCCTCTAGGCCTCAGAAGTGCATAACACAAGTCCCATGGACAAGCCTGGCGTTAAAAGAAATATTTATTTACTTTCAAAGCACTTAAGCATAGGCTTTGTGTTTCCTTAGATAACACAACAGCTCTGCCATGTAGGACCTGTTATCAAATCACCACTGGATTTAGATGTAAGCCCTGCTGTTTCAAGATACCAGTTCTCAATGAGGATTGTTTGCTTTTATGAAGAAAATAAAACAAGTTTCATTAGCTGTTTGCAAAAGTATTAACATAAAACATATCCAAAAGTTACAATGGTTAAATAAAGCTGCAATCTCTAGGTAATCATCTTGCTGAAACTGGGCTCCTTCTGGTTTCAAAAAGACAAACCGTTTTTCCTTGCTACATCTTTCAAGCATTCCATCACATGTCACAAACCAACAAAGAACATACGCAAAACAACTATTTTTCTACAAATCTTGGTCCTCCTTCTCCCTGACACTTCTGCTGCTGCTAACCAATTAATTACAAGAAGGCTCAACACAACTCTCCATCCATAATTCTCATGAAGCCCACAGGTACATTATCTTGCTTCCAATTAGCCGGTATGCATGTTTGGTCTTCTCGGGGCTTTCTCTGTGGCTTTGCACTTATCTCGAGCTACCTCTGTACCAGGAGGTAAATCTGGAAAATAGTCTCACAGGCTAACACATTCCATTGGTTTTAACATCAACTTTCACAGAACCTAACAGTCTCCATTTTCTTGTGACTACAATTCCCACTATCCTTCAAATCATCACACACTACATCACAAAGTGATACCACGCAAGGGAAAATCCCAGACTCCTTTTTTCATCAGTTCATCACTTCTCAGCCAAACACAAAGCAATTGTCAGGGCTGTTTTTTAAAAAGTATGAATGGTCGTGAGCAGAAGAAGGTATCCTGTAGACCAGTGGTTCTTAACCTTTGTTACTCGGATGTTTTTGAACTGCAACTCCCAGAAACCCCAGTCAGGACAGCTGGTGGTGAAGGCTTCTGGGAGTTGCAGTCCAAAACTCCTGAGTAACCCAAGGTTAAGAACCAGTGCTGTAGACCACCTTGACTGCTGCCATTGGTGTTGTCAACATTCAAGCTGCCCTCTGCTATGTAAAGCTTGGCATCCTTTTTCCTCCTGGCAACACGAGCACAATATTGTGCAGCAATATTGGGCCATTTATTGGCTTTTTGAATGATATCCCAGATTTTTAAACCAAAAGGTGTTGTTGTTTTTGTTGTTGTTGTTTTTGTTGTTGTTGTTGTTTTTGTTGTTGTTTTTAAGGATTGAATATATATGCTACACACAAATTCAATCAGAAATTTCCCTCATAAAGAATTACCCAGTGGTAGGGGTTTCCAGAAGATAAGGATATGATCTATACCAGTGATGGCTAACCTTTTTGAACCCGAGTGCCCAAACAGCAACATAAAACCAAATTATTTCTTTCAAAGTGCCAACACTGCAATTAAACCTGAATACCGACATTTTAATTTAGAAAAAATAACTCATACAGTTGTCTGAACTAATCAACACCTTTTGTCTTAAAAGAAAAACGCAATAACAGAACTTTCAATGATACACTTTTTTATTGAAAAATAACCACTAACTCTAGTAAATGGAAAAATATTAAAGTAATACATTGTACACATAGTCTGAAGTCAGGTAATTTATACAAACTTTTAAAATAATTATATGCATGTATTTTTTGATAGGGGATACTCAACTTGGCATGCTTTTGCACAATTAATGTGATTTTTGATGTTGTATGCATGCTGAT